TCAGCCGGGGAGGACGAGGGCACGGGAGGAAGGAATGTCCGCCTGACCTGAATACCAACCCAACCCCAAGTCGAGCCGCGCCTGCGTGTCGGGTCGCAAATGTCCCTGAACCTGACTCCGACATTTGCCTCCCACGCGACTTGGCGTCGCGCCAGAACTTGTTCGCGAAAGTGGCCAAATGGGACCTGATACCACTTTGCAACAGTCACCAGCCACCACTGGCTCGCCATCCGCCGCTCACACTGCGAAGCATTTGTTTCCTGCCTCCTGGCACCGGTCATACACCTTTCAATTCAACCGACCCAGACTCCACGGAAGCATGTCGCCCACTCATGCTTCTCCCGCACTTCATCCTCCGACTCGAGCACTCGCTGCCCTGATGGAAGGCAATGGCAACCAGAGTGCTTCAGTTCAGTCGTGTGACAGGAATACACCAGACTTGCCGGCCTGATTGATGCATTTCCCTTCACCCCCAAGACAGGATGACGACGCCACTTGAGAGCGGAGAGACTCGCTAAACAAGGAAGCCTGGCCCGGTCACTGCAGTCCCTCCAGTCCACCTCCTCCCCTTCGTGTGACTCACCTACGGCACGCCCTCCCGACCATTCCGCGACCATGCATTCGGAGATGCACCGCTACTGAGCGCATACAGGGTGCGGCAGGGGGACCCCTGTCCTTTGCTGCGAGCATCCACTCCACGGTCGCCACACCCAGGCATTGTCCCCATCGCCTACGCAGACGACACCACGGTCGGGCCGGCCCGACCCGACCCGTGATTTTGCCCGGGTCGGGTCAGGGGTTTCAATAGCAAGCCCCGGGCGGGTCGGCCCGACCCGGCCTGGCCTAAATAGGTTGACCAGCGAAATCGCCGATCTGCGCGGATCGGTGGGCAAAATAAACGATCTGCGCTGATCGGCAGGCGAAATCGCCGATCTGCGCAGGTTGGCGGGCGAAAGTGCCGACCTGTGCAGGGGGCGGGCGGAGGCGGGTTTCGCTGACCCGACCCGACCTCGGGCCGGCCCGACCCCAGATCGGGTCACCCCTGACCCCACCCTGTACCCCCGGGTTGGGTCAGGGAATTCAACACCCTGGCCCGAGGCTGGCCCAACCCGACCCGGCCCGGAAACCCGCTTGGCCCGGCCAAGTCGGGTTGGGCCGGGGCAAATGCTCATGCCTACTCCTGGGTGATGCTGCAGCCTGATCAGCAGCTTTCACCGACCTTACCGAGGCCCTCGCCTTGGTAGGCCTTCGACACAATCCATCCAAGTGCGCGGCCTAGAGCACCTGCCTCCCAGATCGACCCAGTACTCCTTCCCTCGGAGTCCACTCTCACCAGACGGACTTCGGATTCCAACACGCTCACCATAAAGGACCCCATTGAGCCGGCCCACGACTTTACAGCTGCTCTTCACGAACGGTTGGGCGCCGCAGGGGAGAAACTTCCAGTGCTCGTTAAAAATGGGCCCCCAGCTATGCCTGTTACTCACCAGCCGCTGTGTAGCCGTCGGAGCTCCTTCGTCGCACGCACCACCCCATACAACCCTGGCACCGTACCAACAGACAGCCTGGGGGAAGCGCCGCAGCACCTCTTCCACGCATTCCTGGAGACAGCGAACATTATGCTTCCCCGGAAAAGGCAGAGCAGCGCCGCATATGGAACCAAGCAGCACTTCCTTCCATCCACCATTGGCGGTCTTGGCATCACAGACTTGGCAACCGCAGACTCGTACGCTTACCTCGCCTCGATCGTCCTCTCCCTTTTTTAGCCAAACACGCGTCGGCTCCAGCCCTGCCCCAGGGACTGGCGGCCCTGGAAACAGCCTCACCAAGAGGGGCCCGTCCGGTGCTTGACGCGGAACGCCTGAACCCACCCGGCCCAAAGCTCCAGCACGAATTCTCCCTGGCAGTCCATTTCGCATGGGCGGTAAGAGATATCAAAGATTCGCAAAGATTGTGGCCAAATCCTCTGTTCGGTTACACGCAATGCCTCAAATTCTTTCTTGGCCCGAGCACAGGCGACTGGATCTCAGCGCTTCCACTCACCCCCCCACTCCGGCCAGGCTCAGCCCAGTACTTTACAGCAGCGGCCTTCCGTTTGGGGCTCCACTGCGAGTGCTCCACCACTGTGGCTGCCGCTACGCCCACAAGTTCCCAAACGCACGACTGTCCAACCACCTCATTTCTCGAACGCACGACTGTCCAACCACCTCATTCCCCGAACGCACGACTGTCCAACCACCTCATTTCCCGAACGCACGACTGTCCAACCACCTCATTCCCCGAACGCACGACTGTCCAACCACCTCATTTCCCGAACCCACGACTGTCCAACCACCTCATTTCCCGAACGCACGACTGTCCAACCACCTCATTTCTCTGTCCAACCACCTCATTTCCCGAACGCACGACTGTCCAACCACCTCATTTCCCGAACCCACGACTGTCCAACCACCTCATTTCCCGAACCCACGACTGTCCAACCACCTCATTTCTCGAACGCACGACTGTCCAACCACCTCATTTCTCGAACGCACGACTGTCCAACCACCTCATTCCCCGAACGCACGACTGTCCAACCACCTCATTTCCCGAACCCACGACTGTCCAACCACCTCATTTCCCGAACGCACAACTGTCCAACCACCTCATTTCTCAAACGCACGACTGTCCAACCACCTCATTTCCCGAACGCACGACTGTCCAACCACCTCATTTCCCGAACCCACGACTGTCCAGCCACCTCATTTCTCGAACGCACGACTGTCCAACCACCTCATTTCCCGAACCCACGACTGTCCAACCACCTCATTTCCCGAACCCGCGACTGTCCAACCACCTCATGCGATGCGAGAAAGGAGGACGGCGCACGGCCACCACCACACAGTCCGCGACGAGTGCTCCACGATCAGGCTGGAGGCCAGCGTTACTACCCACAAAGACCAACTTCTGCTCACCGGTCGGAAACCATTTACGCGGATGACTCCACGGCCGCAGCAGCACGGAAGGAGGATAAGAACTCCATCCAGAGCAACTGAGTCAGTTTCTATGCCATGGCTGTAGAGACCTACTGCTGCACCTCCCCAAGTTTCTCCTGCCCTCCCCCCCCCCCCCCCCCCCCCCCCCACCCCCCCTCTCCCCCCGGGTCTCTAATCCCTGGAGGTGTAGGTACTTAGGAAATTGCAGCATCCATTACCTTTTGTTGTACTCGCTGTGCCATTGATACACAGGACCCTTTTCAAGCGAGTTACAAGCTGATGAGTATACACAGCCTAGGCCCGCGTGGTAACACCTATGGATGTATACAATACAATCTTTGCCAGGAATGTGTCAGAGGATCAGCTTTGCAAGGAACGTCTCTGCTGCCCACGCATGCTACGGATAACGAAGGAACCCCTCCTGCTATCCGCAGTTGCTGTAACTACTAACCCTAATCCGCGGTTGCTTACAAAGCAACGCGCCTGTTATGGATAAGCAGAAACGCTCTTTTGATGATGGGTCTCTCCCTACCCGCTGAAAGGACCGGCTTCAATAGTATATTTGATTAGCCTCGAATTGGATAACTGTAACACCACGCACCTCCGCGGGAGCTCGCATGACCTGCATGGGAGGCGGAAACATGCTGCAGCAGTGTGCAGGGACGCATGGGCGGTACATTGACGAACGTGGGCAGAACGTGGTGTACCCCACGTGAAGAGGAAACAGCCGTTTTGTGCCTTGAATGACTTGAACAAGCCTTGTGCTCAGCCCAAGGGTCTAGGAGGAGGGGGTACCTTGAGTAGCGTTGATCACCGCGGCTGGCAAGGCATGGCATGGAGAGACACCGGAGGCAGCAAGCCAAAGCGCGGCGGAGAGTGCAAACCATGCTCGTAGCTGCATCGCAGTTGGCTTTGGCGGCGGCATTTGCGGCGCGACTGAATGTTTCTGCAAGTACTGGTGTTACAAGTTGCCACGCAAGGAACCTAGTAGCGAATGCGCGGCGGTGGAGGAAATCCGAGGACAAGGAGAATGAACTCAATATCATTTCGAAATATCGAACCTAACACACCAAGCTTGCAATGTTTACAATACCGACCCTGGGACAAAAACGAGCACTGAGTAACACGCAGGAGCACAAGGTTTCGCCCGAAGCGCGCTGCAACTGGGTGATGAATCATACTTGAAATTTGCGCCAGACGCCTGGCAACCAACTAGGTTGTTACAAGTTGGGATTTGCCATGCCTGCGTGCATGGGAATACCCGAACTGTTGGAACTCCCCTTGCCTAGATAGCTCCGAATATAGATAGGTGTTATCCTCGGAGCTCACTCTCTCATCCTCGTCACTGATTAAGAAGGTACTAGAATCCAGCAGAGCGTGGCATCGAGGCGCTATGCCAAGATGCCATGCTAGAAGCGTGGCGATAGGGTTTTCCTTACGAGCCGCGCTTCCTCCTTCCTAGCATAAAATAGCTTCTCTGAATCTTGTAATCATCTTCATCCCTTACTTCTAATCCTATCTTCTTGAAAGTATCTTCCTATCTTCTCTCGTCGATGAATCTGGAGCTAGGCTTCTCTCTCTCTCGGTCTAGCTTCTTTCTATTCCGCTACGTGAGACTCTTCTCTCTATTCTTCTAGCTACGGCGCCACACCTTCGCTATGGCAGGCTCGGCCAACCTCGCCGTGCGTGGCTGCGCGCCGTAGCCTTGTTTCACTGGTATCCGAGCCTATCGATCCTCATCTTCTACTTTCGTAATAAGCTAGCTACTATCTCCACCTCGTCTACTACTCTCGTCCTTAGTAGCTGGCTGCTTCTCTGCGGCTTCGATTTCTGCTGTTTCGACCTATCCTACCTTGGAACAACTACGAGGACTTCTTGCACCTGATGGCGAGGAACTTCCTGCTCCAAATCTGAAAGTCGAATTCGGTTTGGTGTTGGCGAGATTCCTGAACCTGTGAGGGCGGATTTCAGCCAACCAAAGAATCTGAGTGCGCTTCGAGTTTGGTACATGCTCAGCCTACTCACAAGTACTTCAATGAAGTGAGGCCTCCAATCTCAGCTGGAATCTCCCCACTAATGTTATTAGCAGAGAGGTTTCTGCTCACTTGGGTTGGATGGAAAGTGCAGGAGTAAGCCCTGTTAGCCTCATGCACGCAAAAACGCAGACGCATGCATCCATCCACATGAAGGCATGCATCCATCCCACAAGACTATAAATGGCGTGTTGGTACAATGAGATGGGGAAAATATATAACGATGCAACACATAGAGAAAGTGAAAGGATGCATGATGCACGGCATCAAGTATAAGGTGCAGTGCACCATTGAACTGGTTACAGAACCAGAGTGCATCCAACCCAAGTGGTTATAGATGGTAGGTCGGTACAATGGGATGGGAAAAATATATAAAACCTAAACTATAAGGTGCAGTGCACCATTGATCTGGTCACAGCACATCCCAACATGCTTTGGAACAGCAAATGGGGTGACAAGCCTGTAGAGGGCCACACAGCAATGATTAGAGTGAGTTGATGGCTGAGATCGCAGTGCAGGCTTGGCACATAAAGAGCCCCACGCGGCCTTGGCCCGGCACATAGAAGAATGATTCTAGTGAGCTTCGTACAGATAGGTGAGGCCATCAAGAAAGGCGAAGTTGCTGAACATGGGGCCACTCAGGGAATTGGATGAGAGATCCCTGTGCATTGTGTGGGTTGAAATAAATGAAGACATAGGAATAGTAGGCATGGCAGGACAGTTAGGAAGCACATGCAAGTGGCCCACAGGAGTGTGACGGGTCACGATAACAACAGGTGGGGAGCCTTGTTGGGAGGATAGGTGAGGAGAACGAACAGCATTGGACTGGGAGCAAAAGGAAGAAGCATCAGTAAATGAAAGGAGGCAGGATGGAGGGGGAAAGAAAGGGAAATGGAAATAGCTGCTGAAAGGTGTGGTGGCTCAGCGGAGGGAGCATGGAAGATTGAACCCGAATGGCGGTACACAAGTAAGTTTTAAGATTGTATGAACACACCAATGCATTGATATTAAATCATGTACAGCCGCTTACTCAGTTCTCCCAGTGCTGTCTACAAGGCAATGGTTTTAGCTGAGATAGCCGAGTACTGAATTCATTATACTTACAGGTTCACCAGGCTGATCAAGTGGCTGAGAGAGGATGGTATAGATCCATCCAAGCGATTTCCTTGCATACGTCTGATCGACCATGAAAAGCAGCCCATGCAAGATGAAGGAGAGGGAGATGACAGGGGGGGGGGGGGGAGAGGAGGAAGAGCAAGACGACCCTAATGCTGGCTAGCCATTAGCTTCAGTGAAGTTCATTTCAGTTTTACAGCTGAGTTGAAGCAATTACCGATCGCATCAGAGGTTACAGAGGTTTCTCTCTCCCTACAGCAATCATCGATCACAGCAATCATCGATCACAGCAATCATCGATCACAGCAATCATCGATCACAGCAATCATCGATCACATCAGAATGTCACATAGGGGTTGTTTGTGGCCTGCGACGCAAGCAGCCCTTCACGCTACGAATCGACTTCTAACCGATGGAACAGATTTGAAGCCTCTACACAGCCCACTCTAGGTGTGCGGTCACACATCGTGCCTAGGACTTGGTAGAGGATGACGGCAGATTTGATTGCCTTGGTGGTGCACATCAGCGCGATGCAGTGCACCTGGCAAATTCGATCGCATCACAGGTTTCAAAGCTTCCAAGAAGACAGAAACGCGAGCTAACCTGGTGCACCGACCGGCTTGCCTTGGTGCGCGCCAGTGCAGTGCAACGATCCTCACTGTTGTGCCCCTAGTCGCACCAGGGCACGCAATCAGCACACGATCATCTTTAGCGCAACATTGATGAACCCTACACCCTAAACTTAAAAAACATCCTCATATACGCCAATCTTCTCCTTTTGCCATTTCACCACCGCTAAAAAAACGCACAAACTCTTGTTGGTGAGCATTCCAAGTACACAAGATTTTCGAAGTCACCTTCTAGATGCGATTCTGTTTCTTAGTAGCAGCCAATGAGAGGCGTTTTTTTGCAGGATAAATAGACACAGAGTTGAATCTGCTCTCAAATATTTGTCTTGCCCCGAGGCGTGCGACTAGCTTGAGCTGGTGCGCACCGAGTTCACAACTTTTGCTCACTTCTTAACATATGCAAATGAATATAGATCGATGGGGAGAAAATCCTTGTGAAAATCAGTCATATTTCACACACAATCAATGATGAGACGGAAAAAACTGTGCAATCGTAGTTAAAAGCTGAAGAATCATGTCAGTCATGTGCCTTCAGGAAATGCCCAATCAGAACAATGTTATGTTAGGGAGTAACAAACAGTCTCAGTCATGTGCTTTTCATTTACGTTGCAAACGTTGACCGCCAAATGATGTTTTTGTGGCTTATGTACCACCGTTTGTCCCACTGGTTGCTTAAATTTCATAAATCGTTTTCCTTTTCTTCTGGCGCATAACAAAATCTTCGCCTGAAATTTTCAAAATGCAAGCAAAAATAAAGACCGAAAGTTTTGGAGCGGGTTTTTGCTGCCCAGAATTTCCAACCTTTGTTCAAGTTGAACCAGGTCAAACTTGGCTCCTTGTGAGACTAAACCAAGTTGGTTCCGGTTGAACCAAAATGGGTGGGGTTTGGGTCCAAAAGTTTGACCTCAAACATTCTAGGGCTCGAGTCCAACTGGCAGTGGTTTGGTTCGACTACATGTAAAACAAGCAGTTCATACTAGATTCTGGTTTGTCGCGGCTCGACACTCATAGCCGAAATGAACTGAGCAGTTGGACCCAAACATGTACCCTTTTTGGGATAAACGAAATGCAGTACGGGACATAGCACAAACTCACCTGTCAGTGTGGGTTGGCGTGGAAGAAGTGAGGAGATGAGATTAGTGGTCGTGGATGTAATGGAAGGACAACAAGCACACACGATCGACCCAATCGAGGGATGAGATGAGACCATCATGGTGGGAGGCAGCATGAGTAAAAAACCGAATAACACTTCGGTTGGAGGCAAAGAGCTTCACGTTCCACTTTGATTGGCCGAACCGGTTCAATTGGAGCCCAATACTAGCAGCTTCAAGTCGCACACCCTGTTCGTCGCGTTTGCGGTTCGCGTCAAACTGTGAGACATTCAGGCTGGCTGGGCTGCCAACTGTGTGACCATGTACGTTTTGATTAGCCAGAAATCCTGGTTGTCTTGCACGCGTGTGGCATCCAGGCTATGTGAATAAGGATAGAGAGTTGACATACCCTTTGATTATGTTTAGGTATATACGAGGTGCTTCATACAGATTAATGAGCTGCGGAAGCATGGAAATGCCGTTGGGAATGGAGCCCGTCAAGTTGTTGTTTGCAAGAGACCTGTGTGTGTGTGGTGTGGGTTGGGGAGGTGGAAGTGAAGAGATGAGAATAGTGGGCATGGACTGAGGGACAGCAAGAACACACAGTCGGCTCAATGTAAGGATCAGACGAGCATGGGAGGAGGCAGGTATGACTAGAAACCTCATTGCAGTTCTGCTCAGCGGCCAGCCGGTTCATGTTCGACTCGAATTTACCAAACTGGTTCGACTCACACACCCAGTTTTACGTGTTTGGGTGACTCTAAGTCGTCCTGGGAGGGGGAGGGCCAGGAGAAGGAGTTGCGGGATATTCAGCCTTGGCTTGGTTTCCAGATTTTTTGTCATGTATGGTTTTTACTACCCAGGAATCCTTGTTTTCTTGCTTGTCCGTGACATCCAAGTTATGCGACCTAGGATGTACTCTCAAGGGCTTTAGAGTTCATGCCATCTTTGATCATGTTCGTGCTTATCACCACACTGAAATGAGGTGCTTCATACAGAAAGGTGACCCGAGATAGCTTGGAGATGCTGTTGGGAATGGAGCCCATCATATTGTTGTTTCTAAGGGACCTGTGTGGGCGTGGTATGTTGGGGTGGAAGAAGTGAAGATATGAGAATAGTGGACATGGACTGTGGGATGAGACGGGCAGACACGAGTGAAAACCAAATCGCACTTCGAATTGAGACGTTCGACTCGAAATGTCCGAAACGGGTTGAATGAATTACGCACTCCGGAGTGCATCGAATGGTGTCGAACCTGGGCCTGGGATAGGAATGAGCATGGGCTGAGCCCAGGCCAGCCTGCTTAGCGCGGGTGTCTCTGTGGCCTGGACAGATCCGACGGGCAGAGCGACCTGAACCAGGCTGACCCTGGGTGCGAAACTAAGAATCGTATTGAATTCGAACATGTCTGATCTAGTTTTGGATTTGACACAATTTGTCTACTGTTCATGTCGCAACGAGCGTGCCGAATGTGGTGCTGGTTGAATATACTCCACAACGTAAGAGTCCTAGTTAGGCGTTTCTCATGGCTCAAACCCTAGAAACAAGTAGGAGTCGTGTTTCTTAGGGCTAATTAAGGCTAGGAAATAGAGATTTACAGATTTCTACGGGATTTTAAAATGCAGTAATCCTAGGTATAGGACATGCGCTCGCAACTCATAACCATTTACTTAATTGCGAGTAGGAAATATGGTTGCGATCTTCAAGCTCAAGTATACATTTGCCAGCGAGGTTTCGGGTTTGTGTAGTGCGCCTCACAGTTTTGGGGCAACTTTTCAAGTTCCTAAGGATTTTGAACCCCTCCTTTCAAATGTATACTGGAGCTTTAAGTTGCGAGTTCTTTCGAGTGCTATGAGGGGGAGATCTACACTCTTTTTGCACGCCCTAGAATCGATTGCGAGTTTACAGGGAGGTTGGTCGTGCAAGAACTTGAGTTTAAATTGATGCATTAGGTAATGAGCTCAAGGCTCTTAAGGCGTATTCCTGGCTTCAAAAATTTCCTCTAGAAATGTCATACGAAGTCTTGATAAGACACGAGCTCGGGTCAAGAAGCCGAACTTGTTCACAATTTGTTTAGACAAAATTGGCAACCCTAAATCGCACCTCTCGTCATTCAAATAGCGATGGCCAGAGCAAAGTGGGGAGCATACTGGTGGTGCCAAAATGTGCAATGTTGCACGAAAATTTGAATGTACATTTTGTCGCAACCTCATAAATGTCGCACTGCCGCTCCGCGAAAACTTCATTTCGTCTACCACATTCTCTAAAGCTCGCTAACTCCCGAAACGGAAGACCCGAAGCTTGAGTCGGAGAACTCGCAGCTCAAAAAAAAAAAATTGGGACGACACAAACACCGGATCGGGCTTGAGCAGGAGGGCGAACACCTGTTCGGTTCGCCTCGAACATGTTCGTGGCGAACCGAACAGGGCCTGTTTTTTGGCCCAAAGTGTTCGCCGAACACGAACATGTGTTCGGCCGAACATGTTCGTGTTCGGTTCGGCGCGGCAACCCGAGCCGCGCCGAACACGCACATGTTCGTGTTCGGAAGAGGGGTCCGACGAACACAAATGTGTTCGTTGGGCAATTCTTCATCAGATCTGTGCGGATCTAGGACTTCGCCATCAGTTACGCTCGGATCTGGCATTTCGCCGTCTGTTAAGTGCAGATCGAAGATTTCGCCGTCAGTTTAGTGCAGATCTGGCATTTCGCCGTCAGTTAAGTGCAGATCTGGCATTTCACCATCAGTTAAGTGCAGACGGGGGATTTCGCCGTCAGTTAAGTGCAGATCGGGGATTTCGCCGTCAGTTACGTGCAGATCGGGGATTTCGCCGTCAGTTACAGCACGTCCTGCCACTAGCATGGATGAAGCAGGGCGGGACTGGCTTGGGGGGTGGGGGAGGAAATGTGCCACAATTTGAGTTTTACTCGATGTGGACCTTACAGCCACCTAACAAATGTCAACAATCCACAACCCCCAAACGTGTGACTATAGTAAATGCCGCCCCGGGACGAACACGAACGTGTTTGCCACGAACACGTTCATGTTCGCCCCCGACACCAAGGTGTTCGCCTGTGAAGGCGTGTTCGGGCGAACCTCGAACACGTTCGTGTTCGACGCGGGGCAAATTGCAGCAGCGGCCCGAACACGAACGTGTTCGGGCGAACCTCGAACACATTTGTCACAAACACTTTAAGCTAAAAAAAAAACTTGTTCAGTTCGCCTGGAACGGTGTTCGTTTCTTTGCTCGACCCTAGGTTCGCCGAACAGCGGTGTTCGTGCAAGGGCGAACGCGAACACGTTCGTGTTCGCCTCTTGCTCATCCCTACACCTAATGACCCG